GCGATGGACACTCACGTGATATACGCCACCAGCGTATCAGATACGCATTTATTCCCAAATAACATCCCCGCATTGTTCCAAAATCGATTGTTTAACCAGCTAGAATTAGATCCCAGGAGGAGTTATGAAATGTGTCTACAAAAATTACTCCTCCCCACTTCCCATTACGTTATTAAGCGCGATAATCCTGAGACATATATACGTGTAGGCGTTACGTATGAGAAAGTGGGCGAGGGGAGATACATGCATTCAAAGCATTTATTACCATCTGATGTTTTAGCCGGAACTATAAAAGAAATTAATACCACAATTAATACAGAAATAGACTCCATATTTTCAAGTAATGCTAAACTGAGTTTTTTAGGAAAGGCATTAAAACAATTTTCACCTAAATACAGAACGCATTTTATTAAATATGATTCTTCTTCCAATCGAAACAAGTTCACTACTGTGATTAGTGAGGAGAATATTGGCTCTGCAACAGGGCATAAAAACATCAGTAGAGTTACATTATCATTTGGGACAGCTTTTGGGAAAGTGCTGGGCATAGTTGCAGAAAGTGAATATGACATATGCGCAAAATGTCAGTATGCCTCGAGTGTAGTTGACACATGTCTATTCGCACCAATGCCTAGAGGAGGAGTTGATATTCTGTGTGTTTATTGCGATAAAATCTCTTCTACTAGATATGGAAACCAGTCTGTAAATATTTTGGATGTAATCTCCCTAAATGGAAGTGATAACAGCAACAATAAAAAACTATATGTGCGTCTTAACACCAACATGATAGACAGCGTCAGCATTACTATTAGGTATCAAAATGATACCCCAACACTTTTTGATGAACGTGGATGCACCATAGCACTCTTGTATGTACGTCCTGTAGCAGGAGGTATATAACACCAACGCTTCCCCCCCCCCTCCTCATTCGTCTGAAACAAGCGGAAAAATGCGTGTCCACTTTATTCCCCCCTCTGTTGAGGAATTATACATTCTGTTAACCCCTCCTAGAGGTGGGGGACCGATGATATAAGGATTTTCAACAGCAGTAGGCGTTATATGCGTGGAGGGAGAATATTTTCTTTTTTAAGCGGGATAGCGCGTCGAGCAGCGCCCTTTATCATGAGAACACTGGCTCCGGCTGCGTTTAGCTTGGGGCAGAACGTACTAGACGACATTAATAACGACAAACAAACTTTCAAACAATCTCTTAAGAAAGGCGGAGTTGAAACATTGAAAGGAGTGGGGAAGCAAATGATAGGTGGAAGAGTGCAGAAAAAAAAAATAGTGAACATCAAACGTTTTACTAAAGCGAAATATAATGATGTGCTGTCATAAATTCCATAAATTCTTCTCACTCGGCTGGTGTTGTCTAAAGTGCGAACATGGCCGGATATAACGCTTTTGGCCTCCAGGTGCCATTAGAACACTATACAGCTGCTGTTAGTGAAGCCTTACCTAAAGTATTTTCTCCTCGATTGGTAGAATCAACAATTGCAAGCAGACAAACGGTGGATGTATTACCTGTGAGTTCTGGGGTTAATAATAAGTTTACAGACACCTATCTGGAATTCATCATCAAGGGGGTGAACGGGTAGCTGGTGGATATATCATCTATAACTTTGGAGTTGTCTATTGATCTAACCAAAGAAGATGGAACAACACCTTTAGGAGATGCTAAAAGCGTCTCGTTATTGAATGGATTATCGCAAACTCTATTCAAATCCGCTATTGTGTATTTAAACGAAACAGTAGTTGAAACCAGCTCATTATTCTCATTCTGGTCCTATGTAAAGTTATTATCTGTGATATCTGGATGTAAGGTTAACCGCTATGATAAACTGTCACAGTTTTTTAACCGTGTCGATCCTAGTAAAATTGAAGCTGCTTATTTCACTAACGCCTCAACTGGGGAGAAGCAGCGGATGACTGATATGAAAACGAGTGGCGTGAATACTTGTTTTAAACTAATGCTTGATGTCACATCAGTTAGTGAATACGTTTTGGATAATGTGGACATTATCCTCGAACCTCGGGTGCGCCTCGAACTTCAACCTTATAAATGGCTTATACTCAGCGATAATGAACACGCTAATTTTAAATACAATATCAAGTCTACACGTTTATGGGTGGATCGGGTATTGCCGTACCCTGAAGGATTAATAACCGTTAATAAAGCCATGGTGCAGAACAACTCTCCTATTATGTATACTTTTAATAAAACTTTATACAAAACGTATATATTGGGCACAGGTCAACGCTCTATTACAATGGACCAGCCGTGGGGGACTGTTATACCAGAACATTTATATATGATCATCCTTGATATGGAGGCAGTGTCTGGTGCATATAATCGCAACCCGCTTTATTTGGAAAACTGCGAGCTTAGTAAAGTATTAATATCGCAGAATAGCACTAATATTGACGATATTGGGTGTGACTTCCCTCATAACTGCGCCAAGTTGTATTACACAGCATTACAAGCCTTAGGCTTCGATAAAGACAATATATTGTCTTATGATACATATGTGAATGGTGGAACCATACTGGCCGTTAATTTACAACCTGAGGATAGATGACACCATCCCGATTGAAAAAAGTGGTAAATCTGCGGATCGCTTTGGAATTTAAACGCGGCGTGGCTTGAAATAAAGTCATTCTAGTTTACGGGTCTACAACAGGAGCGATCAGCATTAACGCAGATCGTCGCGTTATTTGTGATATGCAAGGATAAATATTAATATGAATCGTTTGGAAATAAAAGAGGCAATCAGAAGTAATTTAGGTGATAAGGTAAACTATCTAGGATGTTTCCTAGTTGATGACATAAGGAAAATAGCGACAAAAATACATAAAAAAAGACCTGTGGTGTTCATAATCAACACTCTGGCATCTCGTTCTTGTAATAAAATAGGACATTGGATAACATTCTATGTAAATAAGGATGAAGGTAGAAGCGAGATAGTTATACTAGACAGCTACGCCAATCCAGCAATATGAACATATTCAAGATATTTCGAAGAGTTTATGTCCTACTTCCAAGACTATGCCCTATATATTATGAAGAAAAGGATTCAATCCCTGAATAGTTACTTCTGTAGGAATTACGCCGTTTATTTTGCCTATCATTTTTCCAGACAAAGCTTAGAGGCAGCCCTGCTTCACTTTGATGAAGCATTTAAATATGGTCAATTTCGCAAGAACGATGAAAAAGTTTTGAAATTCAGTTATGCTCAGATGAAAATGCCCGTGTGTAAGCAAACATTCTGCTTAAATGGTAATAATGACATGTGTGAAACGCTGTGACGAAGTTGACTAGGATGATAGTGCAGTGAGTAATACTTTAAGTTAGGATTGAATGATGAACATGATAATGTCTGTGTTTATTTTTTACAACATTGAAAACAAAAACTCATAACCTTTTTCCTTTCTACAGATTGGATGGTTAACTAGGATGCCAGGAAGGTTCGATGGACTGGATGAATGCCTCTCCCAATCTATCTGCTGGCTAAACCACCAAGAAGAAGTCTTATTATTATTATTATTAATATTATTATTATTATTATTATTATTATTATTATTATTATTATTATTATTATTATTATTACTATTATTATCGTTGTAAATCGCTTAAATGTTAAATAAAAGATATCACTTTGTATAATGTGTTTACTTTTCCCTCGTTTATTGCGGACTGAGGTAATTTGAAGTGTGTGCGTGTGTGTGTGAAATTGTCATGTGATAGATGCAGTCTGTCACATGCTGGGAGAGGCCGTGGGGGGTGGGAGGGGGCGGGACATATGACCCACCAGCTAATGCCGTTAGCCTCAATATATCCTGCCCATGTCGGGGGGAACTAATCGACGTCATTGATCACCACCACCAACACAGATGGATTTGGTGAGAAAAAGTTAAACGCTTCTTTGTTTACATAAAAACTGTCACACAAAGCCTCCACCAGCTGTTCCCTCCCTTTCCTCTCCTTCTCCCCTCTCATCTTAAGAGCATGGTCTCTCCCACCCTCTCAGGTAGGGCTCCCCCTCCCTCCTCAACATAACCTACATACTCCCATACCCATCTTAAGACTCTGGTCTCCTTCCCTCTCAGGTAGGGGGGCCCCTCCCTTCTCAACATATCCTACATACTCCAATCTTACTACACAATCAGGATTAACTCTAAGGCACATACTCATACATATTCATCTTCTACTCTTCTCCTCTCCTCCTCCTCCTCCTCTTCCTTTATTCACCCTACATGACCGCATACAACCACATAACACACCCACCCCAACCCCAACATAACCCTCTCTCAAGTGACGCATGGCCGGACGCCACGCCCCGCCACGCGCCAAAGACACTCGAGGAACCCCCTCACATACCTTGAGGACTACCTACCTGTGCTCACCTCAGCAGGGGACTTAATGACACACCTCGTAAGGTGCTGAGCACGGTTCTAGTCCTCAACCTCACTACTATAATGGTGTCAGTAGTGTTGGAGTGTGTGTGAGTGATGGTTATAGTGGCAATAGTGTTGGAGCAGTGTGGGTGGTGGTAATGGTGGCTGTAGTGATGGAGGAGTGTAGGTGGTGGTAATGGTGGCTGTAGTGATGGAGGAGTGTAGGTGGTGGTAATGGTGGCTGTAGTGTTGGAGGAGTGTAGGAGGTGGTAATGGTGGCAGTAGTGATGGAGGAGTGTAGGTGGTGGTAATGGTGGCAGTAGTGATGGAGGAGTGTAGGTGGTGGTAATGGTGGCTGTAGTGTTGGAGGAGTGTAGGGGGTGGTAATGGTGGCAGTAGTGTTGGAGGAGTGTAGGGGGTGGTAATGGTGGCAGTAGTGATGGAGGACTGTAGGGGTGGTGTTTTTTTTATCAGGAATATTCCTGTGCGGAATTTTAATGTATTGAGATTCCTGAGAACGGGTTGAGCAACAGTGCTAGAGAAGTGCCGATAGTGGTAATGGTGGCAGTATTGTTGGTGCTGACCTGAGTCAAGAAGATGCTCACCGTATGAAGCCACACTGGAGGACTGTCCTAGCAAGGGTCTTCAGCTGGTTCTCCTCGTGGCGCGAGAGGGTGTCCAAGTCTGGGACAACTAACTTCTCCACCTTCACTTTGTAGTGGTCGAGGCCGAGCATCAATTCTTGACAGCCGGCTGCTGTTAGTGTGGCGCCGAGGAACCCGATAGTCCAATATCTGTTGAAGGTGCAATACTTGTAGTTAACTAGTTCTCTCCTTTTCCAAACCTGCCAGTGCCGTCCCATACCCACCCGAGCTGATCCACATCCAACAGATCTGGTCCATACCCAACAGACCTGGTCCATACCCCAACAGACCTGGTCCATACCCAACAGACCTGGTCCATACCCAACAAACCTGGTCCATACCCAGCAGACCTGGTCCATACCCAACAGACCTGGTCCACACTCAACAGACCTGGTTCACACACAACAGTCCTGGTCCACACACAAAAGCACAACAGACCTGGTCCATACCCAATAGACTTTGTCTACACCCTATTGAGCTGGTCCACACCCAACACACCTGGTCCAAACTCAACATACCTGATCCACACCCAACAGACCTGGTCAACACCCAACAGACCTGGTCCATGCCTAAGAGATCTGGTCAGCACCCAACAGGTTTTCGTCCACACCCAACACACGAGCAACAAGTGCCACAAGGGCCAACATCATTCAGTACTGTGTGGGGAGCCACGATCAATGTCACCTAAACCCCAAGTGGAACAGAATAATTCCACTATAGTACACTACTGCAAAGTACATCAAGAGGTCAATATACTTACTACAAAAGCTGACAATAACGCCACGATACCTACCGCACAATTGCTATTAACGAAAAAGAGAGCTAAGGTAAGATTTCTGCTCGTGGTCTGTTCGACCAAGGGTTACAGAAAACTTTCATTACCATTGATGTAGCTAACAATTTGAAACTTAAAACACTACATAATGTAAAGCTGAACATCACAGGGCTCCTCGCAAATACAGAACCCCGAGAGAATAGAGTAGTAAAAACTCTAGTACGATTAGGAGGCTATGCCCGCCCAGTGCAGGTAGTAATAGTAGACAAAATTCCATCTGACCTATATGTTTATGGTCTAGGGAACACAACAAAACTCCTTAAGAGTAAAGGAGTTAAGTGGGCTGACTACAAGATCAAATCTGATCACCTCACCGATGTCGGTATACTTGTGGGAGCAGATTATTGTTTTTAATTTATTACAGAGTGCATCAAATAACAGGGAATGAACCTGTTAACGTCAGCTGGGGGCAAATTGCTCACTGGCCTTGTATCAGAGACAGCCTACGACAGTGGACAACCAACAAGTAAACTTTGTAATGGTTGCGTGAATAGGCCTAGAACGGTCATCACTTAGGTCTCAAGATGTTTCCGAGGATATGAGTCTGGATCTCCCCATACATAAATTATGGGATCTGGACACCGTAGGCATAATCCCTGAACAACCCAGCCCTGATGATGCCTGGACCTACCAACAGTATCTGGATTCAATCGTCTACAAGGAAAATCAGTACTGAGTATAGTGCCATGGTAGTTAAATTACCCACAATTGCCTGTAATCCATTTCATGCACTAAGTCAATTAAAATCACAAGTGACACGTTGGAATAAGTAACCTGATAAATTAAAACTCTATCACGAGTTGATATAACAACATCTTGCTAACAAGTTCATTGAAATCGTAGAAAATGGCAACTATAAGGAGGGACATTATCTACCTCACCACACGGTACTGAAAGATTCAAATATGACACCTATTAGAATTGTGTTCAACTGCAATGCCAAAGTAAAGACCAATAGTGTCTCCTTAAATAATTGCCTTCAAACTGGCCCGAGTCTAACACAGAGACTTTATGATGTGCTGTTACGGTTCTGCATTGGATCCTATGCCTACACTGCCAATATAAGTAAAAGAGTAGGCCTTCAAGAGAAAGATCGGATTTTCACTAAATTCCTCTGGATAAAGAATCCTAAAGATACACACAGTGAAATTGTCACATATAGATTTGCTTCGGTCTTGTATAGGGCGACATCTTCTCCGTTTCTGCCATAGGCAACATTGGATACGTATATGAAGAAATCCCATAGTCTTCACAAGACCGAAATCATTAATAATCTGTATGTAGATAATTTCCAGAGGACCACTAGTGACCAGTCAAAACTAATTGAAATATATCATGAGGCTAACCGTGAATTATTAAATCAGTCAATAATAGAAACAATTAAATCAGTTACTAGAAACTGAATTCCCAGGGTACAAGGTACCTCAAACCCTGAAAGTCCTTGGAATAAATAAAAAGAGACACCGTCTCTGATGTGTTGAACATAAAATCGGTAGAAACTAATAATCCTTGCTTAACCATGAGGAAATTATTATCTTTTGTCAGCAAAACATTTGACCCTTTGGGCTTAATAAGACCCATCTTAATTAAGGACAAATTTCTCATGCACAAGTGTTGGCAAAATAAATTAGGTTGGGATGAACTGTTGCCAAGTGACTTGCAGAAAAAATGGTAGCAGATGACGACGGATCTAAATATCCTTAGTAACCTCAAATTTCCCAGTAATACCATAAACCCTGAACATCCTGTAAAACTGCACGTGTTCTGTGACACCTCAGGTAAGTCCTATGGCGCAGTAGCCTATCTAGTGAACACTGAGCAAGCAACACTATTATCTCTAAAGCCAGAGTGGCACCGTTAAAGTAGAGGTCATTGCCACAAATGGAATTGACGACCTTATTGATCAGTGTTTGGTTAGCTCATTACCTGTTCATGACGCTGACTAATATACACTTCACTGAGACCATAGTGTAGTCAGATAATGAGGCAGTCATACAATGGATAAAATATTATAATAACAAATGTACCTACGTGAGTAATCGTGTTAGAGAGATAAGAAAATTGTCAGCTGGGTACAAATTGAGACATGTACCTACAAAGGAAAATGCAGCTGACTATCTTTCTAGAGGACTGACGTTACGGCAATTGAACAAAGCCGAGATGTGGTTCAATGGATCCCAGTGGTTAATCAGTGGCCAGTGGCCTAAACAAAAGTCGCAAGTCATAGTGACCAATATCACTGTACCCACTGAGATACCAGAACCCCCTCGAACTTTGGCCATTGATCCTAGTCAATACTCTAGCTAAAGTAAACTACTGAGGATTACCCAATTAGTAATTGAATTTCTTGATAAAATAGGGATCAGGTACTGATTCTCTAATCCAGTGATATACAGGATCAAGCGAGCCCAAACACAAACTTATGGCAAACACTATGAAAATCTCCCTGAGAAGCTAACAAGATCTTTAGGTCTCTGGCTTGACACAAGAAATTCTAACATTATTAGGTGCGGAGGACGTCTGCAGCATGCCGTCATTGATTTGGATGTTAAGAATCCCACGTTACTTCCCCGATACCACATCCTCTACAAGTTAATAGTGCTATATTTTCATGAATATGGCCCTTTACATGGTGGGGGTGTTAGACACTCTCCCTGATTTGAGACAAGTTTTGGCTCCCAAAGGGTTGCCAGGTTGTTAAATCCATAATTAAAACTTGTGTAATCTGCCAGTGGTATGATGCTCGGGTGTGCCCTTACCCAGGACCTCCACCATTCTCTAGAGAACGAGTCGTACATCTTCGTCCCTTTGAGACTACTGGGGTGGATTACACAGGGGCTAACAAGAAGGATATTGACAGGCACACCGGACAAGATTCTAGTAAAGTCTTATATTTGTCTTTTTACTTGTGCCACCACAAGAGGTGTTCACTTAGAAGTGACCTCAGACATGAGCGTAGAAGCGTTCTTACAGGCCTTTCGCAGGTTTGCTGCCTGTAGATCTTACCCCAAGTTGATGATTTCGGATATTGGATCCATTGTTATGGCAGGGGAGGCCTGCCTGTGAGACAGGCCTCTCTCACAGGAGGCCTGCCTGTGAGAGATATGGAACCACCCAAAGGTACAAAAAGTCTTAAAGCAAAGACAATACTACTGGAAGTTTAAACCTCCCAGAGCCCCGTGGCACGGTGGGTTCTATGAAAGAATGGTAGGCACTGTAAAACGTGGTTTAAGGAAAGCCTTACACCGCAAGAAAATTAGCCTACAAGAGCTCCAAACCGTTGTGACAGAAATAGAGGCTCGAGCCAATAACCGACCTCTAATCTATCTCTCTGATGACATCACACAAAGAGAACCACTGAGTCCCTCCATCTGATGCATGGGGATCTTCTCAGTCCCCCTAGTTTTCCTAGAGGATGAGGAACCACAGGACCCCTTGTATGTCAGAGGGAGTGATTTGGTACAGAGTTAGAAACACTTTTCCAGGGTGATAGGTAAGTGGAATGAAATGTTGTCTTGGGAGTATCTAACTGCTTTGAAAGAGTATCACTATGGGGCAAGTAGCCCATATAATAAAGTTAGTTTAAAACCCGGTGATCTTGTCTTGGTGGACAGCGATGGGCCAAGGTCAGGATGGTCTATAGGCAAAATTGTTGCTGTACACCCAGACCACCAGGGAATCCTAAGGATTGTCGAGGTTCAGTGCCGAGGCAATAATATCCTTAAAACCATTGAAAAATTAGTTCCTCTGGAATTAGCGAAACCAGAGATTACTCTAACCTCAAATCTAACATATGTTCCAGAAGAAAATACTCCTTTGGAGACCTATGTTCTTCCGGAACAGACTGCCAGACAACAGTGCAAACTCAAACTTGCACAATACTTTAATTCTACATAGTTGCAGACAATATGTCATATGAGGTTGAGGCGACCCAGGAGTCTCCAGTGGGGAGCCAGTGTCTAATAACTCAACCAGTTACAAGTCACAACGACCCTAGTCACTGACACAACTGTAGAATTTGAGGTCCCCTTGATCTTAAAGGACCTGGCAATTAATACCTATAACTTTTAATTTGATGTACCCGTGATGACGGGGCCAAATGACAGCCTCTTCATGCTGTCACACCGATCTGGGACATCTGTCATGTATGTACTGACATCTACTAACACAAATTTAAGTCATAATTTCGGGGGGGGGGGGAGCAGTGTACGTCAGTACTGAACAATGAACTGCGACCTATGTTTTCTCGCCCCAGAATTATGTCGTAGGTTTCTGACACCCCAAGCATTAAATACTGGCCTCTATATAATTAAAA